ACACGACCATCGTCGTCATCGTTATCATCATTATAAAACACATTACTTTACTTGCATGATAAAACTGTGCACCACTGCCTATCACCATTATCACCACTAGGAAATAATAAATAACATATATTTTATCCGTTTGAAATCACTCTACGCTCATCGAAAAATTTAACATCACCAACTTTTCCAAAATATCTACCATCATTCGACCACTGTACCACGAAAGCCCACTTAAAATTTCAGTTAAAATTGTCACAAATCCTCCATCACCACCACTATGCTAATAATCGAGCACCCAAATACCATTACCATCTTCCAAATTCTACTAAAGCCATCAATCTATATGGATTTTAAAAAAAAAACTAACTTTTAGTAAAGAAAAATTGAATGGATAAAGAATTCGTAACATTACCATAGACAGTGTTAACATGATTCATAGCGACCTGAATCTTGGGCTGCATCTCCAATTGGACGCTTGGTACTAGTAATATCAAGACAATCATTCTGCCATGCACCTATGCTTGTATATGTGGTTCCCAAATTAATTTCAATTTCAGGTCCTTCACTTTTTGATGCCATTATTATAGTTAATGAGCAGAATGGCAAATATATCTATGCTACCCGAAGTGAAACGATGGAGGCGATAAATCGTCGATCCGGTGGAGGAAGTGATGTAGTGCGCCAAAGATTAAAGGATCATTGAGTGTGAGGGAGCCCAATAGAGTCTAGTGCAGGCTTGGGCCCAGTCCAATTCATTCATTCATTCATTCATTTCCTTTTGGACGAATTAGGCTCAATATCCTAAAAAATTAACAAATTTGATTAATACTCTATTAGTTAATTAAAAACATTTAAGAGCGTGTTATTACGTTCTAAAACTGTCAAAAAAATCCAGCTATGCGAATTTTCAGTGGCCTTTTCCACAATAGTTTTCTTTTTCTTTTTCTTTTTCAACGGCACAGAGGAAGAAGCCGGCCGTTTTTCTTTTTCTTTTCTTTTTTAAAATTTATTATTCTATTATCCCTTTATTTAATTATTTTAATAGATATTTACCATTTTTTTTCCCTTTTAATTGATTAAAAATATGGTCAAAATTAATTTTTTGACTCAACTGATGGAAAATGGATAGAAATCATCCAAAAGGGCCTCACATGCAATGGTTGTAAAGATTATAGGTGACGGCTGCAACAAATCAAATGTTTGGGGAAGGTTCGCTAATGTTTCAAAGTTGGGGGCTTTTACTGCAATTATCCCTTTTTTTTTTAATTTTGTTACTTTTTTAGCGTTGTCACCTTTTTTCTTATATTTTGTCACTTTTTTTTTTTACTTTGTTACTTTTTTATTTTTAGTTTTTGTCACTTTTCTAATAAAAAGTGATATTTAGCCTCTGTTTGGTATTCA